CTCCAGACTAATATCTCACAAGAATCTTCCATTCAGATATTCAAAACTGAACTCACCATTGTGCCAAAACCAGCTCTTAAAGTGTTTTCACATTTTCCCTTTTAGTAATGGTTCCTTTCTCCACAAAGACCCTCAAACCAAAATCATTCTAGACTCTTCCTTTACTTTAACATAGATGACTAATGATCACCAAATCTTGCTTATTTTGCCTCCTAAATATCTACCTAAATCGTACTCTTCTTTTCATCTCACTGTCCCTAATCCAGCTGAAGCTTCCATTATCTCTGATCTAGATTTTTTGCCTCAAGTCTCAACTCTTTTTTAACTCATGTCCTATAATAGAATATTTGTTTTAAAACACAAAGCTAATTATTTCAGTCTTGACTACAACTTCAAATAACCTAAAGGAGTGTTTTTCAAACTTCAGATCCTGAATAACAAGTGGGTCAATAAATTAATACAGATGATTGGGACCAACGAATTATTTCTTACTAAAATAGGGTAGATGAGAATAGAATAATATAAAAGGTATATGGGGATAAATATGGTTCTGTGAAACTTTCATTTTGTACATGTATTTTTGAATGTTTGTGTGTGTGGTGTGTATATTGTGATTGTGATACAAAATGTATTTCTTATTATTGGTCACCATAAAAATGTTGATAGTCTCTTGCCTATGGATTAATATCTAAACTCATTAACATATACAGCTCACTCACTGATTTATTCCTTCACTATATTACCAGCTTTATCTTCCATTTCTCTCCACAATTGAGGACCATATCCTAGTCTTACCAAACTATTTTCAGGTCTCCAAATGTGCCATAATATGCCATCTCTTTGCACATTGTGTTTCTGCAAGATTTAATATTTTTCCTGCTTTGCCTATTTATTAAACTCCTATCCATATTTTAATATGCACCTCATATATCATTTTTTTATAAAATATTCTCCAATTCAGCCATCCCCACTTCCAAAGCAGAGCTGACCTCTTTTCATTGTGACAATTCATGTCCTTGTATATGAAAATTATTTTCTCTTTTATCATACGTGTTTCTCTGGGAGAGTATGAGATGCCCTAAGAACAGAAAGCATGTCTTATTTTGTGTTGTTGATGGAAAAATGTGGATATATTGTTGTGCCTTATAGCTGATTTGGAAAATACTGCCCTAAAATGTGTTAATGTCATCATAAATCAACAAGAAGTTTACACTATAATCAAATGAAAGATAGATACAGTTAGTAGTTAAAAAATAAATTCTGAAACTAGGATGTTTCATATCTTGACAAGATTATATACAATCCTGGAAAGAAAGCAACTTTATATCCAGTTTGTCTGGGGAATGTCAAATGGTCTTTCTTAATCGCCTTTCTCATTTCACTTTCTCCTGTCACCTTTTCTAAAATACAGGCTGGAAAAATGACAAAGAGGATTCTGGTTATGTGAGGAAGAAAATAGTACAAATAAAGAAAAAATTCTAAGTAATTCTGGAATAAATGAAAATATTCAGTAGATAAGCAAAATTTTAAAGATAATAATGTTCTTACAGTTATAGGTATTCCAAAGATAAAGATATTAATCCATCATCGAACTCAACATCAAGCTTGTCAACCTGCTTAATTAATAAAACTTTATTATTCAATAGAACATCACCTGAAATAGTAGGAAATGGTAAGAATTAATAGTGACACTAATAATCATTCTAAAATATATGAATTTAATTACATCTCTAATATAAATGAATGATATCAGCAAAATTGATTTTAGAAAGCAATTGCAAAAAAACATTTGCACCTTACCTAGTCAAAATCAGTGTTAATGTATTTTATATATAAAGAGACTTTAGAATGAATAAAAGGAAGATTTCAGTAGGAAAATTGGCAAGGAATATATGCATTTAAAATAAAGAATAGCTAAGTGCCATAAATAAGAGGAAAAAACTTAGCTTTATACTTAATTAAAATGCAAATTATAATACCTTTTGAGATTTTGCACAGATTATAACACAAATTATGTGTTATGATGGAAAATTATAATGTTAGTTTAAGGTTTTTAACCTATTAGATAACAACAGATTAAAAATGAAAAGAAATGAGGTAAAGGAAAAAGATGCATTGTATGTATTGCCTGAAGTATGTAAATTTGTAACACTTTTAGGAGGTTAATTTTCATTAAATATTAAAGAACAAAAATATTCATACCCATTTAACTCAGCAATTATACTTTCATTTATTTATTTTAAGAAAGTAAGTAGGAATGTGCACAAAATTTATTTACAATTATAACAATGGCACCACAATTTAACAGATACGAAATAGAAATATTTTGCAATTAAAAAGTAGTGTAGTGATTAAATAAATTATGAAACTTTTATTCAATATGCTATGAATATATGATATGAATTCAATCTTTAAAATCATATAAAATTTTTTATTCCTTATGAAATTGTCATGATATTAAGTTTGAAAGCAAATTTCAATGTGAACTAGGTATTTCAGTGTGTAATATATGTAAAGAAAATGATAAGTATTTTTATGTAAACTAAAATAGTGCAAGGCATATGACAAACATTAGAATAGCACTGTGTGTTATAAAATTACAGATGATTTTTGCGTTCTTTATTTTTGTTTTGCTATATTTTCAAATTTGTAAAGTTAATGTGAATCACTCTTAAAATTAGAAGAAAAAGAAAACCTCAAATGGAATGAGTTAAAGTTGAGTTTCTAGTAAGAAGGCTAAAATTAATGTTTAATAAAATGCCCTTTTGTCTTCATAGATTGTGTAAAGGAATCTGGTTCATATATGTGGATATATGTCCTGATGGGTAATATGCTTCGTGGAATTGGGGAAACTCCAATAGTACCCTTAGGGGTTGCTTACATTGATGATTTTGCTAAAGAAGGACATTCTTCTTTTTACATAGGTAATGTACAGAAAATATTAGATTGTGTGATTCCCATTCCTGTGTTTACCCTTGAAAGAATTGTGTCTTACTAAATTCATTGTTTACTTATTAAAAACTATTTGGAGAAACATCAAATGTTACTTGACAAAACTTATTGAACAAATAATAACCCTGTGTTCTTGGCATCTGGTAAAATTTATCTATAATATTTTCAGGTATTTTGAATGCAACAGCAATCATTGGCCTTGCCATTGGTTTTCTCTTGGGATCTCAGATTACTAAACTATATGTGGATGTTGGATATATAGATTTAAGTAAGTACACCCAAACCAAGGTAATATGAAAGAGCATTTCAAGTACAAGATACTATTTTCCAAATAATTGAATTCATACTATCCATAGTCCTTTGCTTACTATTTCTCCAAATTTATAAATAGGACATAAATGTATTAATAATCTGAATAAAAAGAAAAGTCAATTTTTATCTACCTACATCATGCTTTTACAACTAACTATAAAATGAGGAAATTTTAACAAATTTGTTTTGGATTCTTTGATCTGAAACAATCAAACTGAAATATTCCTCTTCCGAAACTGATCTCTTGATCAGATAGATTCCATTTTTGCACTGATTCTGGTTTGGATGCTCCAGTGTTAAAAGCCTCCTTTTGGTCATCTGGTTGACTCAAGACCAGAGAGGCTCAATAGTCTCCATTGTGCACTTTGTTTGTGCCACTTTCCCTTGTCCTGGTGCAGAGCTTGGTGTATGGCAAAATTTAATAAGTGCTTGTTGAATGACTGTTTAAAGGAATTCACACAAAAATGAATCTATGATCTTTCTCTTCACTGCTAGAGCATGTTTTCCATCTTAGGCCATAGAAGAAATAGAGGCCATGTTATGGGGACTGCCTCAACTTCAGGCCATCCTTCCTACACATGTCCTGTCTTTTCTTTCTTTCTTTTTTTTAAATTGTGGTTTGGATGAAAGTTTACAGAGAAAATTCACTTTCCATACAGCAGTTCACACACAGTTTGTCTCATGACATTGACTACAATTTACCATA